AAACCATATCATCCGCAATTTGCTCCCGCAATTTTGGGTATTGATATAAACTCCACTAACGCCGCCAGTTCTGCTTAACTCAATCATGAAGATCCTTTGGGTGGGAATTTAGTCTCTTGAATATGTCCACTGCTCGACAAGCGCACCCATTTCAAGGTGTTAAGATATGACCAGGTGGATTTTTCCCACAGCGCAAAAGCCATTACATTATCCGAATCAGTGAGGTCTGGTAGATCTGTATATTGTTAGTCGTTGACTTCAAAGCCCCTCGGGTAGAGTATTGACGAACAGAATCCATTTTCGTATTCTTTCTCGTCGGCTGCGATTTTGATTTTCAAGAGGTCCTCCCTTGTACTCGCAGGTCGTCCAGGACGACGCTCTTTCTTTATAGCATTAAGCTCTTCATCGTTCTGGTGTACGAAACTGGATATATTGTGGTTAGACGAAAAGCGTTGAAGGATGGTTGTTTAGGGACCGCATTACGTTTTTATGAGACTATGAATCGCATCGAGCTCGAGTGGCTTCACTCCATTTTCTTTTATGGCATTTTGGAAATAAAGAGCTCGCTCCACTATGATATATGTTAGTTGAATTGAAGCTTGCACACATCGGATGAAGCACATACATATGGGACGATTGTGTCTCTTTCTCTCAGCAGCCATTCTTTCTAATTTATCATCTCTTCCTCCTGCTCTTCTCAAACTCATAGAATCCCGAGATCCTTCGTGTAAAGCTGTAACTTCACCTCCTCTCTTCTTCGAGATATGCTTCGATGTTTTCTTGAGACTTTTTGGCATCGTGAAGGTTGCAATTGATTGATCGAAGTATATTAAAATGGAATTTTTGATGGTCTGCAGGTATATGTAGTTGTCGATACTCGGTTCTTGAACTTTTTTTCCATATCGGAATCTTTATCGCAAAAATTCCCCGCTTGATAATTTCTAAGCTAGCAGGGATATGAGGTCACAGACTTACCTGCGAGCCTGCAAAATAAAGGGTGCGCCGCCAATCAATTTCATGGTTGCCGTAGTGAAGGCAAAGGAAGTTCCTTGGTGTTCGACGCGCCTTCCATACGCGTTCTTTCTATCATGCAGGTTTAAGTGGATGGTCATTTTAGACTTCGAACTTTGGTATCGACGTCTTATCGACATCTTCACAACAACCTACGACAACTTCAACGACCATTGAACACTTATAAGTAATAGTATCCTCTTCCCCTTATTCATGTCTTGACTTATACATTCGTTTCATCCTTTGCTCGCCACCCTCCGACATCCAATTCATGGTTAATGGTCTAATGATTCCTCGAATCTTCCTCTATTGATCCATTTGTTTTGTGTTACTAACGTTATCGTCAACATGGGGATCAATGGTATGTATATGATTCATTGATAATTTCTACAAGTTTTCTTATGTTAACCACTTATAGGTCTTCTCCCTTTGCTCAAGTCCATACAAAAGCCATGTAATTTGAAGAAGTTCGATGGCAAAACCCTCGGGGTGGACGCTTATGGCTGGCTTCATCGTGGAACTGTATCATGTGCTATGGATCTTGCTATGGGAAAGCCAACAAGAAAGTATGGAGACCGAGACAAACCTAGGAAGAAATGACTAACCCAAAAAGCAGATATGTTGAGTATTGTATGCACCGGGTACGAATGCTGCTCCATTTCGGCGTCACTCCTTACTTGATATTCGATGGCGATTACTTGCCAAGTAAAGCTGCGACAGAAAAGGACAGAGAAAAGCGTCGGAAGGATAGCAAACGACTTGGGCAAGAGTTATTAAATGCCGGAAAGACTTCCCAAGCGTACCTGGAATTCCAAAAGGCAGTCGATGTGACTCCCGAGATGGCCCGCCATGTTATTGATGAGTTGAAAGAGATGGGGGTACAGTATGTTGTAGCTCCATATGAAGCCGATGCTCAAATGGTCTACCTGGAGCGAAAAGGCATAATCGATGGAATATTATCCGAGGACTCTGATCTTCTAGTCTTCGGTGCTAAATGTCTTCTTACCAAGTTGGACCAGTATGGAAATTGTATCGAGGTCAACAAGGCCGATTTCTGTGCTTGCAAAGATGTAAACCTGACGGGCTGGTCTGACGCCGAATTTCGAAGAATGGCAATTCTAAGTGGCTGCGATTATTTGCCTAGTATGAGCAATATGGGGCTAAAGACTGCCTATCGGCTGGTTCGGAAGCATAAGACGATCGAAAAAGTTCTGCGTATGATTCAATTTGACGGAAAATTTCACGTGCCGAAAAATTACCTGGAATCTTTTTATCAAGCCGAATTCACCTTTTTACATCAAAGAGTTTTCTGTCCCCAATCTCTCACCTTAGTGCTCCATACCCAACCTGATCTTCCACTTACGGAAGATCAAACCCAATTTATTGGGCACGACGTTTTACCAGAAATTGCCCAAGGAGTTGCGAAAGGCGATTTGAATCCTATCACCAAGCAACCTATTGTCATTGGGCGCAGAAGCAAGATGGCAAATCCTTTTATGGCTTCGAAGAGATCTGTATCCACAAGCGATCTCAAGAAGGGTGTTTCAATCGAGACATATTTTAAAGCCAAGCGGACTCCTCTTGCGGAACTGGATATCAATTCCTTTACACATTCTCGTAGTCAACAGGAGGTTCTTTCTCGCAACCCTAGCTCATGGGTTGCTGAACCAGTCCGCCCTCATTTGCAACGAGCTACCACCGATCTCGAACCTCAATTACCTCCTCACCCCACTTCTCAAAGATCCGTTTCGACTGGAAGAAGAGTGTCTTCGCCCACAGAGTCTCGCCCACAAAAGCGTGCTCGTCTATGTGAAGATGACTCCATTCTCCAAACACCAGGAACTGGCCAAAAAGTGGAACTTGGTCGAAGCCGTTTCTTTGCAGATGGATTTGAGGATGATAGTCCAAGTGTTAGCAAGGTCTCCAAGAAAAATAATAAACAGAAGGAAGATATTACCATCTTCTCGGATGACTCCATTGAGGAAGCGATGATGAGCATTCCAGATGTCGATTATTACTTGACGAAAAAGCAGCCTAAGATCGAAATCTTCAGAGAGGCTTCATTCAAATCTACTCTTGGCTCACAGCAAAGAACAAGTACGTTAACCGAGCACGATCGGACTGAAGACTCCCAGGATACGGTCCCTAGCCTCGAATCTTCGACATCCAGTAGGAATTCATGTGAGCAACCTCCATCTCCGATCCCTGAATCTTCCACCCCGTTTTCAAGTCTGAAAAGCAGGTATTATTTTGATGCTTCGACTCTGAGAACGCCAAAGACCGTTTTCAACCAAGGTCTTCCAACTCCACCTTCCTCTTCGGCTCAGTTCCAATCGAAGATTCCTGTTTCAACAAAGTTAACCACTGCAGCTGCAAAGAAACCCCTCGCCACCGCTACTAGATCTGTTCTCACGCCTCTCCAGCGATTAGGTGCTGCCGCATACAACCGCTTCAACTTACCACCAACCCCACCAATGACTCCTATGCTTGCTGCTGGTCCCATTGCCTTTCTTCGTGGGACAACCGGTCTCTCTTCTCCCGAAAACAGCAAAAACGGCAAATCAAAACTGGCAGACGTTAAACCGGCATCCATTCCATTGCCCCCAGCTGATGCGATTGAGGAGGCTGCTTTGAATTCAAAGGGTAGTGAGGATATGATCATACCAGACAGCGAGGGAGAGGATGAGCCATTGTCACCTATCGAAGAGGGACAAAGTAGGAGTTTCGGCCTCCATTTGGAACGATTTGTATATGCTGGTTAAGGATGCTGAGGAGACCTACACCGAAATGATGAACAATACTACGACCCTACAACACGAAAAGATATGAATATACCGACAATGCTACCAGTAAAACACCGAAGAACCTGATCGATACGCATACTACAGGCAGCAGAAGAGCACACATTATTGGATTAATTGTTACTGTTAGATTTACTATATTATGGAGTTTGGAGCGAAGGATTAATTCCGAAATTGTGGCATGGGAGGGACAAAAAAAGAGTGTTTGGTGTTGGGAGTAATAGAAAGCTATGAGAAAGATTCATTGTGTGTTTCTCATTACAAGTGAGAAGAGAGAGATGAGAAAATAGATGAAGGCAAAAATGATATCCTGTTGCTCTTGTTTTTGAGCCTCGAATAAGGCTATTAGTTATGGTTAGGATTAGTATTGACTAGGATTGGTATGAGAAACGATAATTCGGAATGATATATTTATGGTTGATTTAGATATGCATTTGAAAACGCACTGTGAAGTCACAATGGTTGGGAGGAGTATGTTGTGCTGTCACTATTTTTTTGTTTCTTTGGCTCAAGTCCCGGTTAGCTTCAAGAATATCTCTCTAGGTATTGAGTGAAAATCCGCAAAATCTAAATCTCCGGTGAGCCTTGTAGACATCGTATCTACCTAGTAGGTATCTATGGTTCCTCGATTCGGCAAGAATTTATCATGAGGTGCAGGTGATTAGTTTCCGGGTTGTCTGGTGAGTGAGTGAGTGAGTGTGTGTGTGTGAGTGAGTGAGTGAGTGAGTGTTGTGTGAGAGTGAGTGAGTGAGTGAGTGAGTGAGTGAGTGTGTGTGTGTGTGTGTGTGTGTGTGTTGTGTGTGTGTGTGTGAAAGTCAGATAAATGTTATCTAGTACCCGGTGAAAGATTTTGGTATTTTGGTAATTGGAATTGAATATGGATTTGAATACGGATTTGAATACTCGTATGGATCTGGAGTTGGAATTGAATATGGAGTTGAATATGGATTTGGATTTGAATATGGATCTGGAGTTGGAATTGGAGTTGAATACGGATTTGAATATGTATTTTGGATTTGAATACGGAATTGGAACGAGAGTCTCAACTTTCAACTTTCAACTTTCAAGGTGTATGTGGATGTGTATAATATGTGTATATAGGTATACTCAAGTATACACAGGTACATGATCGATACTTACTTAATCACAGCTTGGAATCTTTAGATCTTTGAATTTGAACATTTGAACATTTGAAAATTGAAAATTGATAATTGCAATTGTAATTGTAATTGTATACAAATCCCACATATTCATTAATATATCTCAACTTAATACATCATCTACTCCTCAATCTTCTTCACACTCCTCAGCAAGCCAGCCTACACCAGTATATCGATCGATACAAGCAAGCAGTAGCAAAAAAACCATACCACAATACAAGACAAAGAAAAGGGAGAATGAGATTATCTAACGCCCGCTTGTCCAACCAGATGATATTTAAAAAAAGTAAAAAAAAAGTTGTAGTAACCCTGCCAGGAATTCTTTTTTAAAGTGATCCCTTCCCTATCTCCCATCCATAATCTCTTGAATCCATCCTAGCCTAGCCTTTCCATTTAAACTCCGGGTAAGCTTCTATGCTTTACTTTACGTGTGAAGAATATCTTCCCTATCATTCCAGTTGTCCATATCCCCATTCAACCCTATCCATTTATCCATCCCTAAACAATAGTCTCGCTCTCCTCTCCAGTCGCAATAATAGGAACTGGTAGTCCACGATCCGGACTTTGTAACACCAATTGCTCATGTCTCCTCGCTCTGATGAAATCGCTAAACGCTCTAATCAAGATGAACCATCCAACAATCATCAATGCATACGCAAACCATTCATTACTAGCGATATCACCAATTCCTCCACTTCCCGAATCCATTCCTGCAGTAGCAGCCGCATTAACCTTATCGGGGTCGAAGTCATGAGAGTTTGGATCGGGAGGTTGAGCATATGATGCATCATTTCCCCCTGAAGGTGGCGTAACGACATTATTTGTTCCTTTCATATAGAAACCATATTGAATAAGCGTAATTCCGAGACCGGCACGGGATCCATTTTTGGCGGCGTGAGTGGTATGTAATAGATATGTGAGGAGAAAACCAACGAGTTGGAAAGACATGGATATCATGGCGTTCCAGATAAAAGAGAATAAAGAGCCAACTGGAAGACCCTCGACGTATACTTCATCTAGTCCACCAAGTCCGGGAGCGAGAATGGTGGTTTCCCAGTACGGTGGTGCGGCATCTGCGGCTGCTTGTTCGTACGTCTGTATTTCGTTAGTACAAGTTCACAACACAATGACATGTATACATACAGGAGGATGTTCTTCTTGTTTCTCGCCTCTCTCAGGCTTAGCACTTAGATTCGCAAAAACACCATCAGATCCCGAACCACCGCCATAAACCCTTCCACCTGTTGGCGGTACAAATGTCGGCACGACGGTTACTGTTCTCTGAGTAGTTGGTCGATCATCGCTCGTCGTCTCATTCAATCTCTCCGTTGACGAAGAAGGATTTCCACGCATTAATCGTTGTCTATCATCTCCATCGTTATCCTCATCATCAGATCCATCATCAAAAGTATCCGCTAGATTTTGGTCGACGGGCGCTACGTGATGTCGTGAAGAAGGAGAGGAGCCTCGCGATCGGAAGGATGGCGGAGGGGATGTAGGTGTCGGAGGGGTATCTTCATCGTTCGCAGATACCTATGTAGAATGTATTAGTATGTATTCTCTTTTTGAATTATAACCAAAGCATCCACTACACGAATCGTGGCGCGGATTAGGTGAGGATTACGCACCCTCTCATATCGTTGCGAACTCATCTTAAAATTGATTTGGGTATTCGAATAAGACAGAAAAGAAAAAAGACCAAGGAACCAAACTCGAGTTGTGAGCGAATGAATGTAAAGGGTTGGAAGGGAAAAGACGTAGGTCGTGAAGTAGGTGAAAGGAAGAAAAGGAAAATGTAGTTTGTGTGAAGCGTCAGGAGATTAAAGGAAGAAGAAGTACGAGTAGAAGTAGAAGGTCGTGGAGAAGGATGGTCCTTTCGGCTTTGTTTGAGATATGAGATGGGTTACAATATTGCTAGGTGGTCCACGGGTACTCACTCTTATTTAGTATAATAACATAGTAATTAAGTCTGTAGCGCCACACATTCATTCGCTAGAAATCATTGGTATTTTATATGGAAACCTTGAAAAGGCGCAGTAAGGAACAAGGACTGGTGAAGGGTTTGTGTGATTAATAAGGGGATAGACAATGGGATTTATTATCATAAGTTTAGAATAGAAGTATATGGAAATATTTAGTAAATGTATATACGGTCGTCTGCGAGTATATGTTTTATAATTATTATTACAACTACTCTGTTTATGGATATATATAGATGGTACATATCATTCCTTCATTCATTCCTTCCGAGATGAGATTCCCAACTCAAATCACATACTCCGTATATCCATCTCTGATCCCGTGCCTCAATATGATCTCTTACAAATCATGCCCCCCAAATCACCTGCACACCTGCACTCAATTCTCGCATCAATCACTTCTCCCATATCTGCTATCTACTTACTAACCACACACCCATCCCATCCGCCCATACCAACTATCCCACACCCCCCCCAAATCTCTAACATCCAAATATAGCAGCACCGCACCACCCGTTAGTTAACAATCTCTAATCTCGCACCGCATCTCGCGCATAACAGCATGCACCCACCCAACTAGGTAAAACTCACCATCTCTCATTCCTCTCTAGGCTCTAGCTCGCCCTAGAAGCATCATTCATTCCATTCCATTTCAGCATTCTCCCAAAGTCATGACCGCATACTGTACCTACCACCCACATATCCAGTAGCTAGGTATCTATCCATTACATCCATAATATAATCTGCATTGAAAATCCGTTTTATTTCTCCCCCTCCAATTCAACGACTTCCAAAACCTTCCCGGTCAATTCCTTCTGTGTGAATAGTTTGCACGAGAGGATTTCATTTATTGAAAACATTATGTCGCAATCGGTAAGTTTGGGCTTTCGTTAACTTTTTAACTTTTGTTTTGGTCTTTGATGGTGGTGGTGGTTGGTGCTGGTGTTTAGGAAATCAAAATCCTTGAACTTGTGTTGGGGGCGAGTTACATTGAGATGTTGCTCGCTGGGGCTAGAAGTCTAGATCTTCATGTCATGGGATAGAGTAATTATGCAATGAGGAATATTTGAACCTCTGACTCTGCATAATCTATATCCTCATTATCCTCAACGCCTCCCTGTCTTGTTCTCCCCTCTTCCTTCCTGTTCCCCTCCTCCTACCTCTTCCCTCGTCTCCCCTCCCCCCTCCCACCCCAACCCAAACAACCCAACTAACACCCCCTCCCTCCTCCAGCCCGCCACCCGCCACTACCTCCGCGCCCTCTCCCGCTGGCCCAAAGATGCCCTCCGTCCCGAGGCCCAATTCCAAGACGCCATCCGTCGCCGCCTCGAGCGCATATCTGCCGCTGGAAACTTCAACGAAAAGAAAGAGCTCGGTCAGGTAAACGCACTGTATAGTTTGGTGGAGAATCGGTATTTGGGAAAGGTATGTTTGATTTTATTTTATTTGATTTACTCTATTTCATTATCGGGATTCGAGGAGAGGCACGACAGAGGATGCTCTACATTCTATTTTATTTCCCACCGAAAAGCAAAAATAAAGAAAACGAGGAAGAAGCCAAACAACAGAAAACCCCCAACTAACACCCCCCTCTCAATCTAGTACCCCCTCACAAGCAAAACCCTCAAACCCGCCAGCAACCCAACATACTACGACGATCTAGTCAAAGAGCTCGAAGAGGCCCCTAACAGGAGTTGGTTTCAACAGCAGGTGAACAGATGGAAGGGAGCTTTGCGATTCCAATGAGAGGTTTACATTGCATTGCATTATATTACATTACACATGTGACAATGATGAAAGGGAGAAAGAAAGAAACAAAAAGGGGAAAATTAGGTTGTATTTATAAATAGGTAGGGAATGGAATGGATTTTGGTAAATACCAGGCGTTGAGTAAGTTTGATTGATTCATGAGTTTGATGAGTAAAAAATGTCTAGAAATGAAAGGATGAAGAGAAGATTGCATAGATGCTTGTATCACTCGGTAAACAGAGGGGTTGTAAATGCATTGGGGAATCATAATACATTCATTGAAGGATACTTACTCGAGCCTTGCGACTCTGAATCTCTAGCTAGCTACCAAGCTCTTTCTTTCCTGTTTTCCTTGCCATCTTCATTTCCATGTGCCCAAGAGTAAGGGAAGAGCAATCGCAACTCCTGCTCTGGACAGTAAGTACACATACAAAGCACACAGCTCATCCCTCCATTCCTCCTACCGAGACTACAACCCCAGATATCCAAACCTGCAAGCTATCATTCCACTGCAAAGCTGGTACCCTCGAGGTATATCACGGAATTCTACGAGGCCTGTCGATTCTGCACTGTGTGCCCCAAATATTGCATCTTTCCTTTCCCTCCCCTTCACAATGCCTTCCCCTAAATATATCTACCATTCGGATCCACTCTCCCCATCAACTCAATACTCTGTTCATACATCGTAAACACGATCCCACCACTCAAAATCAACCTGCCCAATCTCGGCAAAGCCCCACTCCAAAACGTAAACAGGCCCTCGTTCTTCGCAATCAAGCTCGCGCAGTGGAAACTATTCTTGTACAGCGTTCTCGCCTCTATACTCTGCATGCGCGTCTTCACCGTATCAAGCGGCTGCGTCACATAAACCGTGATGATACCTGCCAATCCCCCGATTCCAAAGGTAGACAAAGCGCCCAGTTTTTCCCCGGGCGCGGTATAGGATTGTGCGAGCTGACGCAGCGAAGTGTAGGAGCCGAAGCGGACAGCGGAATTGGCAGATTGACGGGCGGTGGTGGGGACGAAGCCTTGGAAGAATCCGCGCAGGCCTCTTTCGCGGGCGATGATGGGGACGGCGTGGAGAAAGCCTCGAAGACGGGGTTTGGCGGATTTGCGGTCGTCGATTCTGGGGGGTGTGAGATTTTATTTTGTTTGGGAGGAGAGGGGGATTACAAAGTAGTTTTGATACTCTCGAAAGGCGTGACTGCTAATAAACTCTCCGTAACACCAGCTCCAAATCCAGCAATTACAGTTCTGGGCCCGGAAATCTTTCCATCGGCGTTTTGGAGTAGTGCTTTATATTGATCGAATGCGACGAATCCTATTTGCGATTGAGATTAGCATTCATTAATTCATTCAAACCCACACCTCTCCCACATTATCAATCCCCCTCCCTCTCATTCTCCAACCATCCAAAGCAAATCCCAATCCCGATCCCAATTCCAAGATCCCAAAGACAGCCAAAAGAAAAAAACATACTAATCCCCGCCTTCAACGAATTCCCAATAATCAACGTCGTACACCCCGCATACCACGCGCTCCCAAATTTCGGCCATGGAAGTTTCCCACTCTCGGGCAATCTTCTATTCAGCTGCGTCCGGGTCTTTGCAAATTCAAACGGGTACGTGATGGCGATTTCGACGGCGCCGGCGGTGCTCCCTGCGATGATGCTGCGCAGCGCAGAGGGTCTCTGTTTAGGTTTTTCCTGGGCGGCTGCCGTGGTTGAGGCCATGCTGAGGAGGTGTGTGGCGCAGGAAGACTGCGTGCGTGGATGGATGGGAAGTTAGATGTATATGACAGTGACAGTGACAGTGACAATAACAATGGCGAATGTGAATTGCGGAATAGAAAGCTGGAGTCTGTTCGAGGAGAACAAAAAGAGCTATCACTACTAGGTATCAACAGGGATTCATGTGGGCGGGAAATACTTTTTCGTGCCTGTGTTTATTTTACTTGGGGATTGTGATGCAATCATATCATATTGTTGAAACCGATGCTCGGTGCTGGCCGCTTTTAGCGAGGGGTATTTTTGCTATCGATTGATAAATTGACTGATAATGGGATCTGCTTGGTTCATTTGGTAGTGCCTAGCAATAGTGTTATGGATACTGGTCTAGCAGTTGAATGTAGAAGTAAATTCAATGCTGAGATCTATCCCCATCTTTATAGGTAAACTCATCTTCATATATCCCATGACATTGACTTGTATCTTTGGCTTCATATAGTAGGTGTGAAGTGAGTACCTACATACCTACATATTATATGCTTGCCGCTTTAGTTTGCCCGCCTAAGCTCTCCAGGTTACCAAAAACAAATCGACATCCCGTCAGATCTCAAGTGCATAGCAAAATGAATATTATAACATCTGAAATTCTTGTTCTGCAATATAATCGTACAGTTAAAAGGTATAGAACTGTTTACTCATGCAAAGATAGGCAGTCTAATGTACAACCAGGATTGTATGCGCGTGGATTGAAACCCCAACCCAATACTCCATATGCATTTCGATCCGCCCTCCCCAACGCCTTGGTAAGTTAACCATTTCCACCAATACAAGGAGGTGATGTTTTCAAGAACAAAAAACTCTACAAAAAATATATGCTCGTCCATTGATCCCAGCCAAATGCCACCCATCCCATTGATTGATTGACCTTACTGATTAAAAACCATGGGTGTTCCACCCAAACTCGGTGCAAGTTGTATGGTATTGTATCCTCCGGGCATACCAGCCATGGAACCCATCTGCTCTCGCTCAAGTTTCTCTTGCTCCATGCGTGCACGATCAGCTTTCGTGATACGAGCTTTACGTGCTGCTGTGTTTCCACCACGAGAACCAGCTCCGCTTGATGTAGCAGCAGCTTTACCACCCGTACTAACACGGCTTGTGGTGGCTTTCTCGCCAGTGGCGGCTTTTGGTTTCCGAACTCGAGGCTTCTTTGCTGGACCCTCACCCCTATGTAACGAATTAGTCATATATTGGATTTCATCAACGGCTTGTGGCACATACCTCTCGAGTGTTGGTTTCTCACCCTCTCGAACGAGAGGACCAGAATATACGAAGAAGCCATCATTTACAGCGGCAGCTTGTTCCTCCCAAATCATCTCCGAATCATCAACAAAGCCATCGTCCTTGTCGTATTCATCCTCCTTAGTCTTTCTCTTAGGGGCAGCTTTAGTCTTTCTTGTACCGCTATCAGTACCTACTCGCCCATCACTCATTCCGCCCATCTCAACATTACTACCCTCTCCTTCAGAATCCAGTGACATTTCATCACCACTCTCCTTGTTGGAGCCATTTCTCTCCAAGGCTGCACCTGCTGCTGCAACCCTTGCGAGCCGATCACGTTGAGCTGCCAATCGGGGGTGTAAGGCATCCCAACCATATTTCTCCTCGGCCGTGCGAGCGAAATTGACATATATGTTTACATCACCATTCAAGGGAATGTCAAGAACAATTGTAGGGGCACGCGTCTCCGTACCATCATTACCTCCGAGTCCCATCAGGCCCGAACCAGGAAGTGGCGGTGGGGTAAGAAGAATATCTTTTTCCTTCTCCTTCTCCTTGCCCTTTGCCGGTGGCTTCGGTGTGGATATTCCTGAAACTCCGTTGGTTGCGATTTTCTTATTCAAATTACCGTTAGAAACTTGAGGTTCCTTTTGCGCTAAAACAATTGGAGCCGTGGGTGGTGTTGGGGCGGGCATTGGTTGTGATGTTAATGTTGGGGTGGGTGCAAAGGGCCGAGGACTATTTGTCTCAGACATTGATGATAATCCTAACCTGTTAACAATTGGGGAGGCAGGTAAGGAAGTATGTCCGTCTTGTTGACGTTGTTGATGCATTAAAAATGAATGAGCCGACGGCGAGGTCAATGGCTGATTAGGAGGGTCGACAAGACTGGCGATGGAAGGGGATGCACTGGCGCGATTGGTGACTTGAGGTGGAATTGGTGATCCTTGAGAATTATTGTACGAGTGGTGACTGACGAGAGTTTCTCGAACAGGATCATAATTAGATCTGATAGGATCATAATTTTGACCGCTAGTACGGACAGCACTTTGTGGTTGTGGTTGTTGTATTGCCACATGTGACTGAGGTTGACTGATTTGTTGCAGTGCTTGTTGCGGCGGAGGAACTTGAGGTTTTGGTTGGGGTGGGGCGGAATTGAAGAAAGATTTGGGAATAACCTCACTTTGACCCGAATTGGCAATCATAGCGTTCTGTACTGGTGGGGTTGCAGGAGCACTGAAGCTAACATCGCTCAAATGCATGCCAGGAGCATCAGTAATCTTTGTTTGTCGTGATGATTCTCCCCCATTGGTATTTTCGGAAGGTGTAGCCTTTGGCTTTCGTGATCGTGCAGAAGGAGGAGCATTAGGGTCTCTTGGTTTGCGTACTCTTTTAGGTTTTGGAGCGTCGGTATTGGTGGCCGAACTAGCATCACCGGCCTTTGGTCTGGATTTTCTAACTGCCTTCTTTCGGGTTGGCTTTTCTGATGTTGAAGCGGCGCCATTCGATGGGTTGACGGTGATGCTATTGGAATCATTACGAATTTGTATGTCATCTATCTCGGGACTGGATCTTGGTGGGGATGATAAATCGGAATTGCTGTTGTTGGAACCCATTGGTGGTGAAACCCCGCGAACATTATGAGAATTTGACATTTTGGACAAATACACTCAAATTATTTGATTTGGGGATTTAAATGTGGAATCAACACCATCTACTAATCTCTGGAGAAGTGTACGTCTTTCAATTACGAATTTGTGATTTTTGGTGTGATTTGGATGTCACCCGTGATTGTTGTTGGCGGTAACGGTCGTGGTACGAAAGCGTTGCGGAACTTCTGAATAGCTTCAACTTTGAGACGAGGGTGAGAAAAATGAAAAAATGGCTGTTGTTGATGGGAAGCGAGTTGAGTTTAAAGTGATTGATAGAGGAACAGATCGTTGAGACTCATCGGTATCTAATGGGATTATTTCGAGGCGGTGATTGATAGAAAGACCAAAATGATTGATGAAATGGATCGAATGATTATTTGAACTTGTATAAATTGTTACGTGTAAATGAGAAGAAGGGTTTGGGTTGAAGAAAAGTGTTGAAAAGGTGTTTAGATATGGAGATTGAAGAGAGGGGGATTTTCGACTTCTTGTACTTTGATCATTACTACGTTTTGGATTTAATTCAATACAAGCGACATTTCCCATTATTCACAGACGCCATTTAATAGTACGGTACGGAAGGGAAAGAGGAGGTGGTGGGAGAGGGCAAAGGCAAAGGCAAAGGGAAAGGGAAAGGGAAAGGGAAAGGGAAAGAGAAGGGTAAAGGCACAGAAGGGCAAGGGAAAGGAAAGGCAAGGCAAGGCAAGGCAAGGAAAGGAAAGGGAAAGGGAAAGGGAAGTGGGAATTGGATTGGGAAAGAACGGTTGCCGGAATATAGACTGATAAATGGAGGGATTGATTGACTACTGACTTGACTGAGTGACTGAGTGACTGACTAACTGACTGACTGATGACTTGAGATGAGAGAGCGCAAGAGACTCAGCAAGAGAGTAAGAGAGCAAGACTCAAGAGAGAGAGAGAGAGATTGCCCACGCTAGTTGGTCCAAAATGCCGTAGTACTAGCAATAAGTAAGCCTTTTCGGTTTCGATTTCTTTGCTTTTTCCCTACCCACCTTCAACTTCCATCAATTGGTACGACTTGGTCTGGGCATATGGGGCTTGGCTTGACATTTGGCTGGTGGACATGGGGGTATGTGTTCGGAGTTTATAAGTGCGGTGGTGGGTGGTGTGTGGTGTGTTCCATGGCGGATCTTCGAAGCAATTAAAATAGTCCTGTGAGCTGTAGGTCCCTCGGCAACGCGATTGGTCTGACCAGGAGCCAGGGAAAATAGAAGCTGTAGAAGAATATCTCCTTCTCCAAGCTACGATGGAGGGTCTGATGGATGAGAATAGACGATAGACGAAACAAGACCAGGGCTAAAGGGGGCAAAGGCTTACATAAGACAAGGCAAAATAGTCTATTTATTTGGTAACTAGGTAGGTACTAGGTAATTATAAAGTATAAATAAGAATACGGATGTAGGAAAGAATACGCATGCAGGAAAGAGAGAGAGGGAAGGAAGGAAGGAAGGAAAGAAAGGAAGAAGTACTACGAGTACTAGGTATTCGATAAATCACTTCTCCCTTATTTTTGGCTTGAAGAATACTAGCTGCTGATAATAATTATCCGTTTTTCCAACAATACGACTGACTGACTCTCACCACCCCAGTCTCTCTAGTCTCGACTCTACCTCTGTAAACTGACAAGGGGGGGATGATGTTGAAAACTACCTAGTACCTAATAATGCATGTGATTTTATACCCAGTTATATCCAACGGAAACATCAGATAACATCTCCGTATGTGCAGTTCCGCTTCTAAAAGACATCTCTCCATTTTCGGCAAATCCAGTACCAGAATCTACTTCAGTTCAATCTTCCCCTTTATAATAAATGTTCGTATCATGGTTGATAAACATTTGGATTCATCTGAGGATATATATATATGATACCTGTCTAGGTATCTGCATAATATTGGCAATTATGTCCGTATATATTATTAACATGCATAAACCTCGAGCCAAAATGTAACAATACAATTGATATTGTTTTCCATCGAGATGTTGTCAATCGTCGCTCGACGTCTGATGGCTTCCCGAAATAAATGTTTGTGAAATGCAGCTAGTCAGATATG